AAAGTTCATTGGTTTTTATTGTACTTTTCCCTTAAAGATATTAAGATACATGTAAAATAATATTATATTTTTAATAAGGTAAATCATGATTTTTATTACATAAACATATGATGGAACCATAAACTAGCCTTCGACTGTACCGATCTATTGTATGCTAATCAAGAACTATAACTGAGCAATTAGGGTGTATACGATTTGGTTCTGTTTGTTTAGTACAATATATGTGAACCGAATCACATGAGTTAGACATGTGGGTACTTGTACCAAAACCGAACTGACAATTACCCGTGGTTCGGTTTAGTATTACCCGAATTTATAAAAAAAAAACATTTGCAGTATAAGAATAATACTATAATTGAACATTTTAAACTGATTACAGAACAACTAAATAAAAATAATCCAAGCAATAAGAAGAAAATATGATATATATATATATATATATGTTTTATTTCATGTAAAATAGAATAAATTCATATAATATAGATGTCGAAAAAAAATATATTCCATATAACTGATATGTTTTACGGTGATGTGATGTTACAGTGAACTCAGATGAGTGCTTAATGACAAGGATGCAAGAGATGTCACTTGATTACCATTTCAAAGTGGAGCAAGAATCGGGGTCTTCTGGTTATGCATTCTTTGGCTTCAATGGTAATCAAATCCGTACATAAAATTCCACGATTTTTGGTGGTTTTATGAGTTATTGCATGCATTTATAAGACGCTCTGAGGTGCCTAAACAAGTTTTTATGACACTTTTGAAATAAAATATCTTATTAATTTTTATATGACATTATTTGAAAAAATGACTTATAAAAAGATGTGATGTGAAAAAATAATACGTCACTTGATATTAAAAGTTTCCCAAAAACTAGGTAAAACGCTCAAAATGTCATATAAGTTAATTGCAATACTTTTACATAAGATGCACAATTATTTGGTCATATAAACATAAGTCCTATAAAACAGTCTATCAAGATATTTAGACATTTTAATAAACTTGATTTTGTTATAATGAATTAAGCAACCACCTAATTGTGCTTACGGCTTTAAAACACTGAATAAACGTGTGTTGTATATGCGTTATGCAGTGATTGTTGATATACTTGTATTTAAGACATTTGATAGCTAAAATTGTATTGAACTAGAAAGATCAATTTTTGAATTTTCTTATTTTTAAATAGATTTAAGAGTAAATAAAAATTTCTACTTTTAAATTTGTAGGGACTGCTGGAGTTTGGCGAATGGCTGCGCTTAATGAGGCTGGAGGATGGAAGGACCGTACTACAGTTGAAGACATGGATTTGGCGGTTCGAGCTAGTCTTAAAGGGTGGCAGTTCTTATACATTGGTTCACTAAAGGTAAACTACCTATCGTTTTTAGAGAAAGCATTATAACAAAATTAGGTTTATTGGATGAAAAAAAATGCTTAAGCATCCTAAAAAGCTACTTTATAGGACAAAATAATTGTGATCTTATGTAAAAGTGTTACAATAAGTTTATATGACACTTTTGAATGTTTTAACTAGTTTTTAAAAGTGTCCTGTGAATACATTTTTTATAGGACACTTATTTTTGTAAAAGAACTTCTTCGAATAATGTCATCTACAAAATTAATAGGATGATCTATTTCATAAGCATCCTAAAAAACTTGTTAAGACGCTCAAAAATACACTACAAACTTTTTTTTGAAGTATATAATATTTATGTACGACAAATGAAACAAATAAATTTATTCACCCTCCTTATCTTTGGTTTGAACCCCTGACCTCCTAGGATGCCAACGACTCACATATGCTAGGTCAAAGGCCCTTTGGTAATATACTATAAACTTATGGCGACGTTTTTACATAGGATGTACAATTTGTTTGTTCCTATAAATTTAAGTCCTATAAAATAGTTTATTAAAATATTTAGACATTTTTAACATCTTATAAACTCAATATTATTTTAATATTTTGACATAAATATAAATGATTTGAAATGATAATCTTGTTTTTTTTGTGATTTTTGTTCGAATGTATAGGTTAAAAATGAATTGCCAAGTAATTTTAAAGCTTTACGTTATCAACAACACCGATGGTCTTGTGGTCCAGCAAATCTTTTCAGGAAAATGGTTTTCGAGATCTTAACAAATAAGGTACGATCATTGGTATAATTATTCCTCATGTTTAAAACTCTATTCGACGAGTTATAATGTTGTTGATTTTCTGTACCTGTTGTTTATTCAGAAAGTGCCGTTACGAAAGAGGATATATGTGATATACAGTTTCTTCTTTGTAAGAAAAATTGTAGCTCATATTGTTACATTCGTATTCTATTGTGTTGTCATTCCTGCATCTGTGATGGTACCTGAAGTCGAGATTCCAACGTGGGCTACAATTTATATCCCGACTATCATCACCCTTTTGAATGCAGTTGGAACACCCAGGTTCTTGACTCTCTTATTCTTAGCTTTACAACAAAATCAAGTTTATAAGACGCTAAAAACGTTTAAACGTCATAATAAACTACTTTATAGAATTTAAGTTTATAGGATTAAACATGTGTGCGTCCTATGTAAAAGTGTTACAATAAGTTTATAGGATGTTTATGGACGTCTTAACAAGTTTTTTTTAGGATACATTTGTGCGTCCAAATAGTTTTTCTATATGACATTTTCTAGAATTGTCATATGAACAAATCTTTTTATAGGACAGTTGGTTTATATGATTTTTTTTTCAAATGATATCATGAAAAATTAATAGAACGCTTTATTCGAAAGTGTTCCAAAAATTTGTTATGATGTCTGAAAACGTCATAGAAATTTATTCTAACATTTTTACTTAGGACGTACAAATATTTGATCTTATAAACGTAAGGCCTATAAAACAATCTGTTATGACTCTATAACACATTCTTAACATCCTATAAACTCGATTTTATTGTAATGTGTTTTTATTAAGAAAGAAATGATTGTTCATACTTCCATTTTCATTCTGTAGGTCTTTCCATTTGGTGGTGTTTTGGATTCTGTTTGAGAATGTCATGTCCCTCCATCGGACAAAGGCAACGTTCATTGGACTTTTTGAGGCTGGACGGGTGAATGAATGGGTAGTCACCGAAAAGCACGGAGATGCTTCCAAGGCTAAAGCAGCAACTAAACAGTTTAAAAAATCTCGCTTCAAAATAGGTGAAAGGTACATTCATCTACCTAAAAAGAAGCATGCACAAAAACATCTAAAGACACTACAACAAAATCGGATGCACATGACATCAAAACTGTTTAAGTGTCTTAATATACTGTTTAACAAAACTTAAGTTTCCAATATTAAACAATTATCTGTCGAATGTAAAAGTGTTACAATAAGTTTATATGACTTTTTTTAGACATTTTTGAAATAAAACGTTCTATAAGTATTTTTATAGGACACTTCTGAGACATGACATGGACATATCTCTTTATGAAACACTTATTTTTATAAAAAAAAACTAATATGACACCTTATTTCAAAATCGTTTTAGAAAAGTTGTTAAGACGCCCAAAATAGTCTAATAACCTTATTATAACACTTTTACACATGATACATAAGTGTTTGGTTCTATAAGCTTAGTTAATATAAAACAGTCTATTATGACAATTTGGATAATTTTGGTGTCCTATAAATCTGAATTTGTTGTAATGAGATGTCTAGAGGGGCCATGAGGCAGTAGCTCAAACATGGTTTCACTTACTGCCTTTATTTAACTGTAAATTCTAAAAAGACCAACAAACTTCAGAATAACGTTGTAAACTAAAGGATGATTATGTGAAACCCCACAGGCTTCTTATGCTAGAGATTAGCGTTGGCTGTTTTCTCGTCGTATGTGCTTGCTATGATCTTGCATTTGGGAAGTACCGCTACTACATTTACCTATATATACAAGCTATAGCCTTCTTCATCATGGGATTCGGTTATGTTGGTGCTCAAGTTCCCAACTCTTAGATGACGTTCTCGATTCAGCTCTTTTTGTGTCCACATTTTGTTCAGAAGTCATCTTACGCTTGTTCCCCTTTCTTCCTTTGCTATACCATACAAGCATCGTCTGAGAAAATGCAATTACCATTTACTCTGTCTGCTTGTTACTTTTGATTGTATATAAGAAACAAGACGGTGCGAAGGTTATTTTTCATTTACAATATCATAAATATTTCAATGCTTTTCCCATAATTAGCGGGATTTCATTTTTATAGTTCATAGGCAACATGCAATAGCAGCGGAATGTTTCGTACAAAGAAGAAAAGAACAAGACGACATAAAGAAGAAAAGTTGGGTGTGCTTCACCGAAGGTTATAAAGTAGAAGGGCCTATTTGTAATTCTTGGATATTGTAGGTCTTGTTTTGTAATTTTGATTCATGTTTTTTTTTGTATTAAAATTTTCTTTATTTAATATAATTAGTAGGATAATCACGTGAAATAAAGGCTGCATTATTTAAATATCTTTTTCTTTTTTAAATTCGTAATTTATGTTTCACCTAATATTCTAAAATCCAAAAATATGTACAGTTGGTTCAATTTATAATAGATAACATCCGAACAGTGCATAACGTTAATTGTGATTGGACTTTTATTAATTTATACAAAAAATTATGTTATACGTTGTTCTAAACATCTGGTTATGGTACGTTATAACGTTAAGGCTTAGTTTCGCTGTCAGGTTAACTTATGTGGCTCCACTCTAAGAATTGTCTTCAGTTGTAATGCATTATGGCATGTTTTGATATATTATTACATGTTACGATACATTATTTTGTAATGCATGTTCTTTTTACTTTTATCAGAGCCGTCCTTGTGCCTGTTAAATCTGGCATTCAGAACAGGCACCAGCATTTTGGGGCCCAATTTCACAGCCCATATGGATATACCTCTTATCATTCGGCCGGCTAAGGTTTCAATTTTGGGTTTGGGCGTTTGGCGATGCCGATTTCTAGACTGCTGGACGAGGACGACGCTGGACCAGAACCAGACGCGCGCCTCGTGCCCTCGACCCTTCACCCTCGTCGCCTCGATCTCCCCTCTCCTATCTTCCGTCCCTTCCGCGATTGTCGATTGAACTCTTCATAATGGCTAATGATTCGGTTTCATCTTCAGATATGCAACGGCAACTAGAACAACGGTTAGATTTTAGATTATTTTTGTTAAGTATAAATACATGTTTGGTCGATTTGTTGATTGCTCGTTATCTAATTACTATTCACTGTTCTTAAATCTCATAATCTCAACGATTTGGTCGATTACTTGATTGTTTTTTGCTGATTTCATTGTCATCTGTGTTGGTCTTGGTCAATTGGTAACTTGGTTGGACTGTTGGTTGAGCGAGTAGGTGGTCGATTTTAACCTAATTCCTAAATCCTAAAGGTATCCTCCTATGATTAATTGATTTATGTCTGTATTCATGACTGTTTGGAATAATAGAATTGCATAAGATTTAGGTTAATAGGTTCCCCATTTTCTCTTTTCTACCTGTCAAATTTTCTTAGTTAATAATATGGTTCCATTTACTGACTTTATGTGTTACCTAACCTTTGCCTCCATTCGTCTTATTTCTTCAATTTATATTTAGCCATTTAGGCATTTAGCCTTTTATTGCTTGTTCACTATTCGGAATCACAAGTGTAAGAAAAAACTGAAAACTTGTTCACTTGTTTTAGGTTCATCTTCTTATTTGTTTAGGTTTGGTTCAAATTGTCCAAACTTCAGTCTTCAGATTGTTTAGGAATTAGGTTCAAATGATCAAAAATTCTTATTTCTGACTATATGTTAATATGTACATGTTGGGACGGCCCTGAAAATAATTCTTATTAATTGTCCAAACTCTTCAGATTATAACAGGGCCTCCAAAAAGATTGGGACGACCCTGACTTTTATTACATGTTGTAACGCATTATGGCATGTTATGACACACACACACACACCCATACACACACACACACACACACACACACACATATATATATATATATATGCCGTATTGAAAAAACATTATGGCCTCATCACAACTTGTAGAATTTAAGGCTTGACCTTACTGACAAGCTACGACTCACGTCATTTAAAATCAAATTTTATATAATAATATTTGCATAGTATTTAGTTATTATTCAAATAGAATCGTAATCTCAGAATTTTCTAAAAAGTAATAGGAAAAGGAACTTCAATAGCTTAATATAGTTGTCGAACGTACGTATAAGTCTTGAAAACGGTTATTTAAACAGTATAATCAATAAAAGTATAAAATAAAACAGGATCGTGATGTTCAATAAATTAACAAGTCATAAGTATATAATAATATAACAAAATTTACGAAAAGTTTCAATCAAACGATGATTTCACAACAAATGCAAAATACTGATAACATTACTTGTAATAAACGTATAAAAAGACAAATGGTAGTAAATCAATGTGATTGTGAGGTAAAATACGTTTAAATCAAATTATTCGGATTTGAATAAATATTTTAAATAACTTCTGATAAGATCTATGACTATGGAATCAAACAGATCCAATTTGGACTTAATTATTTCCAGCTTTCTACACAATTTCTTTTTTTAAAGAATATACATACATATATATATATATATATATATATATATATATATATATATATTCACTGAATCATGTGTTGGGATCAGGTGTTGAATAGAATAAATACATTTGGCTTATTTAGTTATAATTATATACAAACTTTTTTATTTTATTTATTTACAATCTAGTGGTTATGTGTTTAGATATGAACCCTTCCAAAACTAAACTACCAACTTCATAGTGTATTAAGGGGTGTTTAAGATTACTTATTCAAGACGATTATTAACTTATTTTAATATGATACTGGTAATAAGAAATTTTTAGTGTTTACATCGGCAGAGATGGTTAAATGGGCCCGAGACAGGCGGAGGAGCGAGCTCAGGACCGTTTGGGATTGGCGGTCCGGGGCTGGTTACACTTTTTGTCATAAAAGAAGGCGTGGCATGGCTCGGGACCGGCTGATTTTTCAAAAATATTATTGTGCTGTTATCGATACTCAATGGCCATATGACTATTTTTTCCCATTTTTGATTTCGTTTTTTTGTCTCATTTACCTCTATTTACTATATATAAGTCATATGGTATATAGGGGAAGATACCAACTCACAAACGTTCATGATTCTTGTTATAATTCGTGATTTCGACTTGTATGCTCGTAAAAAATGTATTTAACTAACGCAATTACATATTTTCAAGTGAATAAGAATAGCACTTTTGTATTATTTAAAAAAATTTCAAAAAAAAAATAAAATTATGTAAAAAATTGATTTAAAATAATATATAGTACCAATTTGGGCCCAGCCTGGGACCAATCCTCATAACCTGTTATAAAGTACCTTAACCAGGCCTTTGGTTTTTAGTAGTGACCTAGACCGAGACCAGGACCAGTTATGCGGGAACCGGTTACGAGAATAGTGTTGGGAATTTTTGGCCATCTCTAGACACCGGTAATAAAGAGTATTTGATAAGTTAGTTCCTTCTAACTTACTAACTTATTTCGGTGTAATACTGATAATAAGGAACTTTTAGTGTTTGGATGGAAAAAACAAATAACCAGCTTATTACGTTTTGGTACCGCCATAAGCTAATTTAAACATTTTTATAAAACTCATGTTTGACACCACATAAGTTGATAAACACTTTTACAAAAAAAAAGTCGTTTTAAATAAGCAATCCCACACCCCCTAAATGAAGTCACGATAATGTGTCAGAAGTTGATTGATGGACAACTAGTTTAAACATTTCTCGTTATGAACCTCTGTCATATCAAATTTCTCTTTCTTTAACATCAATTTTTTTTCTTCCTATGCATTTTATAAACCTTCAACTCCCAATTATGAACCGATACATAACTTAAGTATTAATCATTCTCTATTATATAATCATATTGGATCCTACCATTCTAAAATAATTGATTCATGAACATTTCCTCTTCCACCTTGACATGTAACATTTCCTCTTAATGGTGTAAAAATTGATAGAAACCACCAATTTTAAAGACGATCCATATTTATATTTTCTCAAAAACCACCTCATAAAATACCAGTACAAAATTCGAACCAACTGGGCCACCAAGCATACCACCTCAACCTTGACACATAAACGTTAACTAAATCCAAGTCGATCCATGATTGTGCGTCCTCCGTTAAAATAGTCTTTGACCAAAAAAATGTCAATGTGCTACTTCATTTGAACAATTCCAATGACACTCTCTATGTGGGTGTTTATCCAAATGATTGAAATCCCCTTCAAATTTCCAGGGTTTGGTGCATGTGAAGTCTTTATTTGAGTAAAAGATTGATTACTAGTAAACCTGGCAGGTCTCATGTGGAATCCACCTCCTACAGGCCACATGTTAGGAGGTATTTCTAAGCTGATTCAACCAGTAAGGCTAGTAGAGGGGTTCAAACCAGTTTTACGCAAGATTTGAGCTTGAACATGTTGTGTATTTGAGCAAAATCCTTTCACCTTTTTGCGAACTGAGTTACACGTCCAATGGCGCCCATGAAATCTTTATATTAATAGCCAAAGGGCACAAGCCCAGATACCAGATACTGGTATCTTGTAATCCAACTTTTTTAGAGTTTAAAGGTTCTAACCTCGTAAAAGACGAGGAGTGTGTGTAGTTTCATTTGATGCATATAAAATTTATTACTTCAAAAAAAAATGTTTATACAAGCATAAGAGCATCTCTAACTCAACACCAAATCCCAAATTTTATACCAAATTTAGCACCATTTCTCTCAAACCCAACAACAAATCTTGCATCATTTTTAGTACAATATGGCCCTAATACAAATTATATCTATATTAAAAAGTTAATAATTTAAAACTTAATAATATATTTAAAATAAAACATACTATTGACATAATATAATATATATATATATATATATATATAATACGAAGAAATAAGAAATAAGAAATAAGAAATAGTAGTAATTGAATAATCCGTTAAAACCATATCCAAATCCATGTAAACACGTTAATTTATAATATTATAATTTATAACTTTATTGCAACAAAAAGATTATTAGCCGAATTTATAAACAAGTAATAACTATAATTCTATAATTAAAAATCTATAAAATCTAGAAATAAAGACATTT